ATGTGATCAGGAATTCCTGACCACTTTTTACAGAACACCATCTCGACTAGCGGCTCTGTATTTGGCCTCATATGTGATCAGGAATTCCTGACCACTTTTTACAAAACACCATCTAGACTAGCGGCTCTGTATTTTGCAGAATTTGTAACAATATATACACATTAACTAAAGAAAGGGGTTATGCACGCATTTGTAGACTATTGGCCTTCAAAGTTGCTATGCGTTCAGCATTCTTCGTTATGACAAATAGTTGCCATTTCTTCTCTTTAGCAATCCTTAGTAGTTCACCTGAAAATGCATAAAACAAGTTAGCGCATCTCAGGTTTTAGTTGTCTTAAGGGATGAACCATTCGATATTTTACGGGAATATTTAAATTTTTGTCTGCTCGATATTTTTTTCGTGGCCTCATGCATTGTAAGATTTCTGAGCGATTTCCCGATTTTTTTTACCACATTCGCCTTTTTTTAGCTGTGTCAAGGCCTTGCTCGATATTTATTTTGGGATTTCCGTAACCCGCCCCCTCCCCCCCATCATTATCTAATCGTCCGTTCCTAAACGGATCCTGTCGACGGTTTTCTTATAACTTCCTTGTAATCTAATTAGATAGGAAGTTACATGATGCCCATCTAATCAACTGAAACATTCGGCCGAAAGACAGCAACAACAACGACCTGTATTAAGACGTTTGCTACCTGCTTTATTTCCTAGTTCCATAACGGAGGACTTTAAGCTTGCCAGCCCATCTGATGCCTCATTTGCAGCATTCCCTCCTTCTTCAAGAATTACGACATTGTTTTTCTTTATTTTAGGTTTCCCAAATAGCAGGACGGCAGCTTTTTCTACCGCAGGTGTCATGCGATCTTTTTCTGAAAATCATTAACATTTTTTATTTTATTAGAACTGAACTGCAAAAGTTTCGATTCAACATTTTGTTCATCTTACGAGTGACTGGTAAGCTAAACTCGTAAGGTATTTAACGGAATCAGTATTATTTAAATGTATTTATTTTTTGGTAAAGATTTTTTTTTTTTTACCTTGTGGTATGGTTTTCAGCACAATGTATAAGTTCTGAGCGTGGCTACACTGGACTGACGAAACCACGGTCTCCATCTCTTCGACGGAACGTCCAAAGATGATGACCGAAAAATCGGTCATCCCCTTCCTGGCATTAAGGCCGATTAGCTTTTTAAGCAATAACGTAACGTCTTTGTTTCCCCACTCCTACAGAGAGAAGGAGAAAGAGAAAGAGAGGGAAGGAAAAATTAAGATTATCATGGAATTTTCAAAATCAGTCAAAAAATCTAGGTATAGGTAATCTTGTCTTTGATTTCATTTTCACTTTCGTCATTTACGTCTTCATTAAACAGTCTTCATCGTTGAGCTGTAAAAATGCACTTCGATTCAACTATACTTACTTCGTTATAGTGTACCACTATAAGCTGCACTCCATGGAAGTCATTCCCAAGGGAATCTGGTGACAAGTCCAAAGGGTCGCTGGTAATGAATACTGGAGATGTAGAATCCCGCTGTTTTCCTAAATTAAAAAAAAAAAAAAAAAAGAATTCAATTAAATTAACAGAAATGCTGAACGGACGAAGGCAATGACAGAAAAACGAATAGATCAAGGGTGATTAAGCAACGAGTAGTATTTAAGGAAAATTAATTAGTTCTGATTAATTAATTTACCTTGAGTATTCATTTCTTCATCCTGCAGTATTGTCTGAATGAAGTGGGTAAACTTCTCATCAGAACGGCCCTTCTTGTAATTAAAACTTAGGAGTGTTTCCTTTGTGGTGAATTCCGGAAATCTAGCATGAAACAAATTGGAAGGTAAACGATTAATGGCTGTACAAATTTTACATGCATTCATGTCATTCATTTTTGACCGTTGTGTACGAGCAGATCGATTATCTGCTTTGTAAGTGAACAAGTAAATTCTAAGTTATTTATTCCAAGTGGACGCAACAGTTTCAAGAGTTATCTTAATGAGGTCCCGCTGGCATTGGAATGAAAAAATGCTTTACCCATTTAGTTACACTATCACCGCATGTGTCAAACAATGTGTAATTCTTTAGTGCATTGACCTTAACTCATAGCAAACATTATTGTGTTTGCATTAAAAACGCTTCCTAAAAAAACTCGTATACATACTTTTTTGATTATTTGTCAATAAATGTTTTGCAGCGGCTCAGAAAGAGATAACGATACTACTTTTATAGTACGCTGAACCCACTTGGTTATCTTTCATAAATATCATATGCGAAATAATAATGTTGAGTTTATACCTTCTCGTCGCCTCGTCCCAGCTGGATATTCCACTGATTCTTAGGAAGTTATCCCTTGCTGTATAAAGCGTCTTGATCTCAACAGACATTGACCCGGCCTCTTTAATGCTCAACTTATTGTTGGCCAGCAAACTCAAAACCTCAATTAGGTCTTCTTCTTTTAATCCTCTTAGAGGTTTGAACCTGGAGGCAATAAGATCAGGCTTGCTCTTGTTTTTGATGTTTTTTTTGTTCTGAGCGGTACTTTGCTTCTGGTCGTTCAAAGCGTAATCCTCGTATTTCTGGATAACTTCTAAAAGCAAGCCATACGCATCGCTTGACAAACTTGACAGGAAAAAAACGTAGTCCATTTTATCCTAGACACATAAACTTACATTAGTATGACAAAAGTCACAATTGGCATATTAGGCCCGGGTCGCACTTGGACCAATTCCAGAACAAATCTGTTTTGTTTAGTGGAAAACTGTCAAAAATACTGTAATCACTGTACCGATACAAGTGCGACCGATTTGTTTTGAACCATTCCGAATTTGTGTTTCGCAACAAAACTTCAAAGACGCCGATGTACTTCTTTTTAGCAGGAGTTTTCTCGTTCAACAAACAAAACGGCGATAAGAACGTAAAAATCTCTACTCTATTCTCAGTCTGTATTACAATATACAATACAGACTGAGAATAGAGATTAGTTGAGACATTTGAGTATTTGAGCCTTGAGGACAAGTTAACAGTGCGACGTTAGGTTTCGAAAGTTCTAAAGAATGGACAGATCGATTAAAGAGGAAATTGTTGGCAATGTCAGCCGGCTTTACCAGGCACGCACATAGCACTGAACTATTCACATATCTTAGCGACATCACAGAATTATCCATTGCTTCAAATTGTTAGTACTTACCTTGGATGATTGAAACAAATCTACGCAATAACTTCTCCATTCAGATCTGTTATCGGCAAACGATGATGCAAGAACTTTCCTACAAAGTTTGATCTATAAAAAAATATATGCTTAATCAGTCCTACTTTTTGAAGTTAACCAACCACCATACAAATCACGTATACTATTCCATTACTCAAACATTGTTTGGCGGAGCATTTGTTTTAACCTACTAGCCTACGCTATTAAACTATTAAACTACTATTAAAGCTATTAAACTACTTAGTTTACGTACCTTATCTTGAGACGTGAGTTCATGACTGAACTGGTCCATGTTGTTGTGTGCCTGAGCAAGTTTTATCGCTGCGTTGGTGGGCATTTCTTCAACGAAAAAGATACAAATAGAAAAGCATGATTGCTTTATCATGATTCTCTCAGTCTTTTTTCATCTTTTACTTTATTCGTCAATCATACTCGTACATTTAGCCATTAATTTATGTATTTATAATAAATGAATCCATACCTGTAAACAAGATGGCATCCACCGATTTGAGCCGGTACAAATCTTGATACTCCTCGTTGAGCTCTGCCATAGCCACGCGCCGATGGTTTCCGCCAATAACGACCTCCAATTCATAAGAATCAATGTTCTCGGCTTTGAAATCTTCTATTCTGTGGAGCCCCTTTACCACGACTATTAACGGCTTTTGGCCAGGAACAGGATTATTGAGCATCTGCTCTTTCAGCTGCTTTACAAAAACGTGGTCAACGCCACGTAACTCGTATTCCGCTCTCGGTGCTGTTAAAGAGCTTGTTAATACTTTGGTGGTCACTACAATGACAAACACAAAAATAAAATAAAATGAATAACGCCCCCATTTTTAAGCTGTCGTAAGTACCAAAAGCGTATAAGAACCCAGTGTCCTAGTGTAACGTAATATTGCATCATTTTTTGTGGAACTTACCGTCCCCTTTAATGGCAAATTTAAGAAAAGTGGATAGCTGGTCGGGAATCTGCTGATCTGCTGTTTCTACTTCAGATAAATGTGTTAGGGCTGTAGGGGGACTAGCACTCGGTGAGACAGGCAGATCATTCCTCGGCTCGACAGATTGTTCAGCGCTTTCTTGCCTAGTTTCGCGGCGCACTCTCTTTGCTTGTGGTTCTTTGCTCAGGCTTCCAACTGGCGTTGTCGGCTGTGCACTTTCTAGCACCTCGATCCCTAAGATGGCTGAAGCCTTTGCCGCAAAATCTTTTCCATCTGTCAGGGGAAACAATCCTCTAGAGGCTGGCGATGGTTCACATAGCGTTATATCTAGCATCTTGTAGCCATTTTCGCAGTTAAACTATGACAACAAAAAAAAGATCGATTATATAAAATTACTGAATGATGTCCAAATCTATCAAGTAGTTATCCAATGAACTTTCCTACCTTGACTTTCGTTGGTTTTGTAGCAGAAGCTTGACAGTGTAGGATTTTGCCCAAGCACTGCCCTTTTGAGTTCTTAGGTTGTTCTTTAGTACCTGAATATAAAATGTAGGGACTCTCATTCTGCAAATCAATGCGCCATTTTTTTCTCTGTGAGTCTGCTGATGAAGCCATGTTGAATACTGTACTGTAAGCGGTACTGAGTASGGAGAGACTAACTCGTGGATTATATATTTTAGGTCAGAGCGAACAAATGACTTTTATGTAAGTTGTTGTGTAATAAGCATGTCCAGAATAGACACAGGGCATGTATCTGGACTCTATCAAATGCACACCATGAACCCATGACCTGCACTGAGGGTTTTACAAACTAAAAAGGTAAATTTCAACATACTGCAAAAATATATCCTCTGCTGAACAAAAACAGTCCATGTATAATATATTATTGTATAATATATTAACTAAAATATTTTTCAAACGATGATGCCAAAAAAAACAAAAAACATTTAGTATTTCTAGCTGTATGTCATCTTTCATCTATGCCCTTTTGACAGTTTCTGGAGATCTTCTTTATCAGGAAGACGTTGAAAAGCTCTTTGTGTGTGTCCCGTCCTGTGCAAAGTTTGGCGGGATTTCGATTTGTGTGTACATGTGTCTATTGTTTATTACAGGAAATGACATAAACAACAATCAACTGTTCTTTGTGTAGCTGAACGTTTCGTCAGATTTAGCTTCGATCACCATGAATGAAGACAAAGCACATTCGTCGCCTCAGAAAAGACAAAAAATTATAGAAACTAGTATTGATAGCGAAGACGTCAAATTTCAAACATTTGGTAATGAGTTCAGCAGCACAGTTTATTACATCCCTTCTGATAGCAGCATTGGAAATGAATCGCCAGTGAAGAATGCAGTTTATTACATCCCTTCTGACAGCAGCTTTGGAAATGAATCCAGCCTCAAGAATATTCCTACGGATAGCAGCTTTGGAGCTGATTCGTTTGACATAGTGGGTGATCCGACTGATTCCAGCTTTAAGGAATTCTCCCCAGCCACGAATGCTAAAAGCCCAGCTTCAATATCCGAGCATTCTACTGACTGCTCATCGCCCGAGAAGGATCAACTTGAAAACGAAACTATTCTTATTGGAAGGACACTAACTGATCCTATCTACTGCTCAACGCCAATAAAMCGCCATTCATCTGGGGATGGTCCTTATAATAAAATCTCGACATCTAGCACACCTCGCTCAGGACAAGATACAGAACCACAAGATGTGGATGCATTAGGCAAAAGTAAAGACCAGGAGATCTCTAAAGGTAAATGCCGTTATTTGTCAAATCAAGTCTTTTTCTTCTTATCTGAAAACAAGGAACTTGAAATGATGGTAYAGCAGAATCGAGGCAGAATTTCAACATTTTTTGACGCTACTTTTGTAACCTGTGTTGTTACAAAAGAAAATGATTCCGGAGAAAGATTGTCGCATTTGCCATCAAAGCTTTCCAGTAGAGGAGGGTTAATGATACAACAATTAAAAACGCTACCAAAACGCCAAAATTCCATATTTGATGTCTGCAAAAGCAAAAATATAAACATTATCAATGAAGCTAAGCTTTATGAAGAACTTAGCAAATGCTATAGACCTAGTAATTCACTGAACTCAAACAGAGGTGTGCGTAAACTTAAGGCTCCTTATCTTAAAGTGGAAGATCAATCTAGGAAGTTCAGACCAATAGTAAAAGAAGTTAAAGACAAGTTTTCCTAATGCTCTTTGTCCCGAATCTACTAACTATAAACAAACCAAACCTCTGGCTTCAAAAAAGAATAAGAGGTGTCAAATTTTATGTGAGCATTGTCACTGTTCTGTTGACAAATTCAAACTTGAAGAACACTGTCAAAGTGAAAAACATTTGCAAATTATATCTAGAGAGAGTTACTGGAAAAACGTGGACGATGTAATTGCATCAATCAATGAAAATTCTCAAAATTCGAAGTTTTTTTCTAGAGTCTTGTGAAGTATATATTTACTTTTTGTCAAGTGTATCGATATATTCACATAGTTCTCTTAGTAGTCCTAGTATATATATTGTAAAATTCTGGCGTACCAGAAAGTAAGCCAATTGACATATTTTAAATTAAAGTACGTTTTTATTTTTTCACTGTTTGTTTCTTTAAATGCGATTTAGTTAAACTAAGCGGGGTTAACGTAAGGAGTAAACGTCGGGCCAACTTTGCAGCGGGAAACGTTTAAGCTTGCTAGACCTGTTGACAGTTTTCTAGGATAATGCATCACAAGTAGAAAGTTTCCGGCGCTTAAAGATAAATTATAAAGGGATTATGACATGGGTAAATGCTGTTTGTGTTTTCCCCCGACAAAGGGCAAACAAAAAACCTGCTAGTTAACAAGTTTTAGCCCTTGAATACCTAATGTCATAGGTAGGTCCTATGTTATCCCATCTCCCTTAGGTGCTTTATTAGACTTAAGATTTTTTGTTTCTACTTTAGCGAACTATTTAAGAAAAAAGTATGGAAAACTGAAACTTTTAACCCTTGACACTACAACTGTCCAAGGTGTTGAATGATTGTGAACAAAACTACATGTAAAAGTTTCAATGCGTCAAATAACAAAGGAAATGGGACTAAAATTATAGGTCTTAATTCTTCGGTCTTCGACATTTAACTCTTACAAACTGAGAGGGGAACACATTTGCGCCTTAAAGTCTTTTTTAATTGTATCTGACATTTTATGATCCTATTTTTATCGTATAGTAAATTAATTATCATGTGTGTATAGGAACTGATCTCACGTGCAGTACAAATGGAAGCCCCTCAACCTCTGCATCATCTGTAATCAGTAACCTTTCAATGTCCATCCACGAAGGTAATAGAGATATTTAAAAAAATTAGCTTACAATATTATATCTGTCTTTATAACATTTTTTTTTTTAATTGGTTTTTGATGCTTGATTAAAATTTTTGTATTCTATTTACAGTAAAATTTGCCTTCGAGTGTTGCAACAATTTATGTACAAAGCATGCAGAATACGCAGATCTCCTCCTTGCAAGAAAAAGGTTCGAGAGGCTTTCGAAGTCTGGGCGGTATCAGTGGCTACTCAATTATCTTTTGGATCACACCAAGAAAAATGAAGAGTAAGTAAGTTGATGTACATATATCAGAATGAAATGCTGATCCTCCTAGTGTAAATCATTTGAAGATGCACTAGAATCATATATAGGTTTTCAAATGAAAACGCAAGCCGTAGTGGAATTACGACTTTCATTAATATTTTACTTTATCGAGGGAAAAGGAGTCATTATCATGTGCAAGCATGCTTGTCTTTCTAAAGAGTTCTTCTTCTTTGTTCTTGATTTTTCTTGTCTAGTGATGAAGAAGTAGTTTATTTCATTGCTGGTATGATTGTATGCAGAACTGCATGGCTGGCGTCTTTAGGAGTGAAAGAATCGATGGCCAAGAAAACCGCAGCATACTTCAGAAGCGGCACAATCGTAATTGAAAACAGACGAAAACGTTTTTCAAGCCCAAAACGGCAAATCGCCTTCGCCTGGATGGAAAATTACTTTAACAAAGTTGGCGACAAAGTCCCCGATGGCATCGGAATAAATCTTCCAAGCTATTTGACATACAAAAGTCTTTATAATTACATGAAGAAAGATCTTTTAGAAATTCAATCAGAGAGTGAAGCAATTTCTTACACTCTATTCACATATATGATGAGGGATGATTTCCCGGATGTCAGAATTCCAGTGGTACAGTGATAATGTTTTCGTTTTATTATATAATAGATTGCATTACATACACTAGAACAGATTCCATAAGACTGTGAAACGTTCTCTGTCTTGCAGCAACCGCGATTTTGTTTTTAAATTTTTGCTCTTTTGACCGTGTGGAAACTGCTCTAAAAACGTAATTGCTAATTTTATAATCTATTCATAGTTTTGGTAATTAAGCTTAAGCCTGAGAATAAAAATCTATCGAAAAATATTTTGCTTTTAACTACAGGTTAACCGCTTTACGAAGTGCGATGTATGTACTGTTCTCAAAGAAGAAAAAGAAAAGACAATTGATAAAAAGTTAAGGAAGTACTATGAAGATCTTTTGACGGTGCACAACAATACACAGAAGTAAGCCAAATTTATTTCTACAGAAGATCATTGTGAGGCACTATGATCTCGCTAGTTCCATGGCCAACATGTAGAAGATATTCTTCAATACTAACCAAAAAATTGAGTTAAGAGATAGAGTTAATGTGTGCACGTGTTGCCATCCTCTAAGTCCTACAATGTCGTTTGTTTTGTTGGCAACATTACAACGTCGTGATCATCGATGAAAATTGTAAAGTTCAAATGCTGAATTCTTTCCAATTCTTTCATAAACACTGATATAGCAAACGCAATTATGCCAAATATCTTCTCCAACAATTCAAATTCATTAAATTGAAACTGCTTATCTCTTACTACCTAAATTAGGAAGGAAATGTCGACATATTACAAGCATCGCCAGAAAGCAAAGGATGCCGATAAAAAAGAAAAGTATCTTTGCATTATCATAGACGGCATGGATCAAGAAAAGCTCTTAATTCCGAGGCTGATTAATATAGCTAAATCGTACGCAAATGCCTGGAAGCTGAGGACACACCTTACTGGTGTTATTAATCACGGTAGGGAAGTTGTCACTTACATTGATATATTCCAGTGGCCACATGATAGCAATTATACGATGAATATCTTGCTGAAAGCAATCGGGAGACTGGAGGAGATACCAGATGTCCTTTACCTCCAAATGGACAACTGCTTCAGAGAAAATAAGAACCAGTATGTGCTAAACTTTTTGGCTATACTAGTCAAGATGGGAATCTTCAAGAAGGTATTGCCAATGTTACTAAGTATGCATTCAAATTTTTTATCAAATAAATTGGGAAATAATGAAAGTCAGAGAAACACTATTTACTACAGGGCAGAATGTCTGATCAAATTCATAACACAGCGGGGCACATGTTTGCTGTCAAATCCCCATCCCTTGTCGAACACTCGATCAAAGGTACCGAACAATTTGTTTAATAGATCGAAGCGTATTACTCGAATTCCCTCTCGTAACTGTTAGTTGTCTCGATCAACGCGCTATATCAACGCGCAGCAATAAAAAACATTGGTAAATGTATTATCGATGCTACCAATGTATTTTTATTTATTATTATAACTTGGTTATGAAATTACGTTTTCAAACAAATGTTATTGGGTTTTTTTTCCAGATTAAAATAAACTTTCTTATGGTAGGGCATACTCACGAGGATGTCGACCAGTTGTTTAGCAAAATTGGATTACATATTAGGACAAGCAACATCAGAACTCTTGATGGTAATTAAAACAGAATACTTGTGACTTTTGCAAATCGCTTAAATTATAATCTTTCATAAGATAATTATAGGACATTTCTATGCGCCGTTGAAGACGCATCGTATTTCCAAAATATATTTTATAAAATAAACAACCCAATGATTTCTTCGCCACTTCCTAATCCAAAACACAGGAGAAAGAGTTAAAAACATTTAAATTTCTTTCCAAATTTCTCTGATTATATATTATTA